TTTGGATAGAAACTTCATGGATAATGATGCCACTTATAATGTATCATTGAGACTGTTGAGAAGTAGAATTAGAGACTAAAGAAATTATAATATCTCCATAGTATACAAAGTTGATGCTCGAATAGTTAGAGATCTTGATTCATCTAATGAAGAAAGGGACATCATCATCGCGATGAGATTGATTTTTAAAAAAATCCATGAGACACACACAACTTTCATACCTCTGTAATACTTATATTTGCTGAAGTAATTAGAGGTAAGTTTAAAGTTTTCTATATTAGTTTATTTAAATAATAACGTTGGTATAGTTTGCACATTCAAATTTAAAATATCATCATTTGAATGTTATAATCATGTGCATGTTTGTATACCGTTGACATCCAAAAGAGAAGTTTGCCTCATGCAAATATCTTTTTATGGTTACACTATAGAGATAAACTCCAATCGCCGAATCAATTGATCGTGTGATATGTGCAAAGGTAATCCTATATCTTTATAAATGGACAATATCTTTGATGAGAATGGCTACCTGATATACAAAAGAAGAAACATGGGGGTCACCACAATGAGAATGAATATCGAGTTCGATAATTGATTTGCTGTGCCATACTACCCACAACTCTTGATGAGGTATCAAGGTCCCATCAATATTGAATATTGTAATAAATATAGTTCAATCAAATATCTCTTTAAATATGAAAATAAAAGTCTAGATAAAGTAACTGTTGTAGTTACCCAATCTAACTTTGATGTTGTTGATAATATGGTGTATGACGAAGCAGGGAAGTACTATGATTGTCATTATGTATCTGCATGTGAAGCCTCCTGGAGAGTCCTCTCTTTTGATATACACCACAAGTGCCAGCAATATTGAGGTTGAATTTCCATCTCCAAGGCTAAAATTTGTAATCTTTAGAGATCAGCGAAAGCTAAAAGATGTCGTCAAAGAAAATATTGATAAAGCTTTAATGTTTGAAGCTTGGATGATTCTCAATACACAATACAGTGCAGAAGAAAATTTGACGTTTGTAGAGAGTTTCCAGAATATTTTATTTACAACCAGAAAAGGCAAAAATGGTTCCAAGGCAACAAATACAATCAAAGGCAGGTTACAACATGCGTCTACAAAAACCAGAGAGTTATATTACTTGAGAATAGCTATTAACAATCCAGCGATGATGTACAAGTTATAAGGTCTTGAGGATAGTTAACAATGTTCTACATAACTCATTCGAGAAAGCATATGAAGTATTCAAGTTATTAACCTACGATAAAAAGTTTATTGAAGGTTGTAAAGTTAGGATTTGGGAATCAGCTAAGAAAGTTATTCGTGACATTATTAGGGACAAATACCATGATTCACCCACAAATTGTTTTAGAAAAATTATAGGAACTTCTGATGGATGGAACTTTATTTGATCGAAGAAGAATATTGCGTAATCAATGTATTTAAATATAAAGATTTTTTTTAACGTATTAATCCATATGAAATGCATTATATGGAAACAAAACTCTTTAATTGAGCACTGTATATAAATAAATTTTTCTAATTATTTTTTAGTAGAACTATTAATCTCACGAAAAGACCTAAATAATTTAAGTCTAATTGAGATTGAAAAGTTGCTTAATTAAAATAGATAATATTTAAATGAATTCAGTGGTATGCCATTTCTAGATGAAAATCCACTTAATAGATATCAAAATAACTTTTTGGTAGAGGAGTAAAACTATGACAAAGAAAAGTTATCATTCATCTTAGGGGATATTTAATGAAGATCAGAGGAATATATCTAATGAAATAATGGAAGTCATTATAGCTGAAAGAGGAACTTTCTTTTTTTGTGAATGGTTACGGTGGAACTCAAAAAATATTTCTCTGAGGTGAGATGATACGGTTGTCTTAAATGTTACATCCAGCTGCATTTTAGCATTTCTTTTGCTTAGGGAAAGGGACGCACACTTGAAGTTCTTAATCCTTTTGTTGCTAACCGAGTGGTCATCCTATGTCATCAAACAAGAACTAATCTAACAAGCAAGCATAATCATGTGGGATTAATCATCCACGATGAGTATATTTCCTTTTGAGGCATTAAATTGCACAATGAGAGATGTGATGAGGTTCACTAATAATAAATACATAAATGAACCATTCAGAGGGAAAACAATTATACTGGGAGGTGATTTTATCCATATTCTTTTAGTTTTACTGAAAACTGTGAGAGAGGAAATTGTAGGTGCTTCCGCCAATTCTTCAAAAATATAGTTGAATTGTAAAGTTATACATTGACCAAGAATATGAGATTGCATTCATCTACACCCTCTTGCACAAATAAGACACAAGTTTTTAATTGGATAATCAAAGTCGAAGATGGAAAGTTTGGAAAAGTGTTTGATGAAATTGTTGACGTTGATATCCCGTCTGAATTCATGATTCTTGACACAAGTACCCCCTCAAGAGTATAGTGCACTGTTGGCACCTGCGCTCGAGATTGCTGAATGGTAAATGAAGTTGTCCAATCCCTTATTCTAGGAGGTGATAAAGAGTACTTAAGTTCAGATTCTTCATGCTAAGCATATTCAGATATAGGTGTTGAAGATGATTGGATAACAACTAGTTTTTTAATGAAATCAAATGTTCGCGGATCCAAAATCACAAAATAGTTTTTAAAAGGGGGAATGAATTATGTTATTGAATAATATTGACCAAACATCTAGATTGTGTAATGGTAGAAGATTAGTTGTTGAAGAGCTGCAAAAGAACATTATCAATGCAATTGTGGTTTCAGGAAATTGAGTTGGGAAAAAGGTTGAATGTATTGGGCACCATTTGATTCAAGACTATCCCCGAAGTTCTAGAGAAGATAATTCTCAATAGTCTTATGTTTTTCTAAGACTATTAACAAAAGTCAATGTCAAGCAGTGTCTGTTGTTATACTTTGGGTTATTATTTTTACCCAATTTGGTATTTTCTCATGGTCAACTTTATGTTACAGTTTCACGACTGAAGCAAAAGACATGATTAAAAATACTTGTTCTAGATGACAATGAACAACCATATCAAAAATGTTATGTACCCTGGAGTGTTTTAGAAAAATTTGAATTAAAACAACTTTCTTGAGTCTATAAAATAAAAGTCATGTTTGAAATATATTTACTTGATTCCGGAAAATATATTGCATTGAAAAAATTCAGAATCGACAAAAATTTGTTTGACCCCGTCCATGGCACGGTTAAAATACTCGTAAAATAAATTTAAAAGTAAACATTTGAGATTGTTTAAAATTATTTGGAAGTATATCAAGTAAATATGGCTCCTGCTTTAGTTTATAGTTTTTGACAGAAAATATTTTTAAACCAATATAATTAAAATTTGGTCTAAATTCCACATATTAAAAATAAAGAAATCAACCTTGCTATGAGCTAAAAATTAAATTCTACACAAGTTTTCATTTATATTAGTTTTAAAATAAATTTGGTCAATTATTGAAACTAAAGCACAAGTCTTATTTTAGAACAGAGGGAGAAAATAGATACAAATTAAATATTTTTTGAGAGCTACAAATTAAATATTTTATTTACATTATATATTTCCAAATATTAATGAAAAATTTGAAATTTAATGTTTTCTATATTTAATGAATTTTTATTTAAAAATGAAAAAATTTTGGAAAAATACTCAATTAGGAAATACTCCGTACTATTATGAGAAATTACTCTAAGTTTGATGATAGAATTTACAAAAATATGGACTTATTTAAACATTACTCCTAGAGTCCTAGTTAACGAGTACCACTTCAGTAGTTAGTTTATCTTGGAGAGTAATTTGAAAGAACATCTTGTTATAGAATATCATTTTGGAAATTTACTCGTTTATTAATACAAAAAATTAAAATGATAGATGCTTAATTTTAAATTTTAATCCGAAAGATATATATATGTATGTATATATATATATATATATATATATATATATATATATTGAAAAGTAATAAAAACCATTTAATTTATGGATAGTTTTAAAATTTTATATATGATATTATTTTCTAAATTAATGAACTTTATATATTAAAATTTTGAAAAAAATAAGATAATTTAGAATTATGAGGTGTATTTAGTTGATGATGTGTATTCAACATTTTCATAATTGTGGCTATCACTTCCTGTTATGAATATCCAAAAATGACTTCTCTCAATAATTACTTTACTAAAAAAAATATTTTAATAAACAACTTATAAATTAAAAACACTTATGAATGAGTATGGTACGATATGAGACATGATTTAACTACCAATATCGTACCAGATGTTTTGGTGTGATACGAAAATTTATGTCGAACTGATCCAAAATATCGGGTTGGGATAGTTTGAGATGATCTAGCATATATATGTTTTAAAACAAATCAAGATGAATACGTAGAAAATAATTTATTTTTAAAAATGTACCTAAACAAATTATTTTTTAAAACTTGAAAGTGCACTTAAATATAGAAGTATAAAAAATAAAAAAAAATCGATAATTAAAATGTAAGAAATAATTATGAAACTTAGCTTATATTTTACAAATTAAACGTAACGAATGATAATTAAATGCTACTTGAAATGATTCTTAATGTTTGTAAATTTACCTTAAGATAACTAAAACTTAAATAATGTACAATTCACATATAATAAAATTAGAACTAAATTTTCAAAATAAACTTTTCCCTCCGTTTGGAATCGAATATTATATGAAATCATATATATATATATATATATATATATATATATATATATATATATATATATATATATATATATATATATATATATATATATATATATATAAAACAGGCTTACCCCTATATGCTCACAAGGAGCATGAAGGGGAATAAAGATGTTACATTCTATCAGTTGTCATGAATATTTTATTCTGGAACATTTGTGGTATTAACTCCACTGTTAATAGGCTAACCTCCCTTACCAAAACCTATAAACTTGATTTTGTTGCTGTTTTGGAACCTATGATTCAGGAACATAAAGTCAATACTACTAGAGTTCAGCTTGGTTTCTCTAATTGTGCTTCAGCCCTTAACAACAAGCTTTGGGTTTTCTGGAAAGGGGATAGATTCAAACTATTATCCTTTCAAGAGTTTGGTCAAATGTACACCTGTCACTTCTGGGATAATAACCTCAGCACCAAGTGTAGCATCACCTCAATTTATGGCAAACACACTGGAAGTGAGAGAAAGGAACTATGGAAGGACATCTCTGATAATGTTATCAGTGATCACCTTTGGATTTTAGGGGGTGACTTTAACGCTATTTGCTCCCTTGAGGAGCACCAAGGCTTAACCACCCCCACCCTGGCAGACATAACAGACTTCAAAGACTGCATTGAAGCCATCCCACTCATTTGCCCAGCCTTTGAAGGAGGTATCTTCACCTGGAGTGGGGTGAGGAGTATGGGAAGAATTTGGAGAAGATTAGACAGGGCTTTGGTTAACCCTCTCACTATGAACCATTTCCCTGAAATTAACATGAAACATCTGAGCAAAACCTCCTCTGACCATAAGCCTATCTTGCTGCAATGCCAACTAGAGGACTTCAAAGGAGCAAAACCATTCCGATGCCAAGACTTCTGGTTCACCCACAATAACTTCCTCAAGGTAGTCAAAGATAACTGGACTCAGCAGCCCATGATAGGAGGAATGAGGGGACTGGTTATTAAACTCAAAGGGCTCAAGGCTACACTTAAAAACTGGAGCAGGGAAACATTTGGTGACATCTTTGAAGCTGTAAAGGAAGCAGAATTTAAAGCTATGAAGGCACAAGAAGAGTACGAAGAGAATCCAGTTGATATCTTGAGATCCATAGCCAATAAAGCTCAAGCTGATCTTATTGTGGCCACTAACAGAGAAACCCTCTTTTGGAAACAGAAAGCTAATATTAAATGGATGGAATTAGGGGATCAGAACTCTTCCTTTTTCCACTCTTATGTCAAGAGCAGAAGAAGCAACCTCAAGATCAGAAGCATTACAGATGGCAATGGAAGGAAAAAAATGGAGGTAGAGGAGATGCGAAAGGCAGCAGAGGATTACTTTAAAGAGGTGTTCAGCACTCACAAAGAAGTTCATGCTCATCACATCCTGGAATATATCCCCAACCTCATCACCCCGGAGGACAATTTCATGATGGGCAGAATCCCAGATGAAGCAGAAATCCAAAAAGCAGTTTGGGATCTTAGTCCTACTAGCTCAGCAGGCCCTGATGGATTCAATGGCAGCTTTTTTAGAGTGTGCTGGAGTATCATTAAAGAGAATGTCATCAAGGCCACTCAAGAATTTTTCCTAGGAGTCCCTATTCCAATGGCCTTTGGAAGCACTCTCATCACTCTAATCCCTAAGAAGAAAGTCTGTAAGCATTTCTCAGACTATAGGCCCATTTCTCTCTCTACTTTTATGAGCAAGATTAACTCCAGGATCCTGGCCTCTAGGCTACAAACTCTCTTATCTAAACTCATCTCTAAGGAGCAAGCTGGGTTCCAAAAGGGAATGGGTGTGGATGATCATATCCTAATGACTTGTGAAATGGTCCACAGTCTAGACAAACATTGTGACAGTGGCAATGCTATCATCAAGTTAGACATGGCTAAGGCATTTGATAAAATCGAATGGAGCGTTTTAAAGGGGGTTTTAAAAAGATTTGGCTTCTCTCAGTCTGTTCAAGACTTGTTACTTGCAAACCTAATTGGCACCCATATTTCAATCCTAATTAATGGATGTCCAACAGGTTTTTTCAAAATGGAAAGAGGAGTAAAGCAGGGGGACCCACTATCCCCACTCCTTTTCATTATTGCTAGCGAGGTGTTCCTAAGGATGATCAAGACCAACATGGAGAGTAAATACATTAAGAGGTTCAACACTGGTAGAAATCTCCTAGTCAGTCATCTAGCCTATGCAGATGATATAATTATCTTCTTAAAGGGAGGAGTCAGAAACTTTCTCAAATTCAATGTCATCCTTAAGGAGTATACAGAGGGCTCAGGGCAAGAAATTAACTACAGCAAGTCCAAGTTCTATGTAGGGAAAAAGGCTAAGCACAATCAAATTTCTAGGATGGAGATTGCCATTGGCATGTCCCATGACAGTTTGCCCTTTAAATAC